AAAATAAGAGGCCAAAGGGGTCATAAGACACACCGCGATGTGTCGATCACATGAAGTTCAACAAGAAAGATCTGAAAGGTGCAGCGTTCTCTTCCTTTAACGAAGTGCAGAGAACATTAAAAACTATGAGGTTTACACATTTTAACATTTTTAGATTTTAAAAGATGTACAAATGTCTCTCTGTCATACATTTGTCAATGAATATATAGAGGGGTTAGAGGGTGAGGGTCAGGGCAGCCAGACATGAAAGAATCCATCATGTGAGGAGGAAAAAAAAAATCACTTTGAGGAAAAAGTCTAAATGTCGAGAACAGAAGTGGAAAATAAATAAAATAATGACGCAATAATAAAATATGGAATCAATTGAAATACAATTTTTTCTTTCTCATGCCTACAGTGATAGATGAGCTTCAGACCAGTCGTCTTTTCTTCAGAGATGACTCTACTACGTAACACCTGTTGTATTTAACTGGACTATTTTAAAGGACTTTTTAAATAAGAACTGGTTAAATAAATAAAAAAATAGTTAATTTGGCACCAGATCTAGCCTGGCCAAATTGCAATACTATTCATATTTTTTTATTTTATTTTAAGTAGGAATAAACAATAAAAGCCTTTTGATTTATGGCAAATGCACAACAAATTACTGATACAGTAAATATAGCTGCACCTTCATTTTATTTTCTATGTCAATACATCTGTAAACTCTATAGAAATTGTAAAAATCGATGTGAAATCTGAGTCAAATTAAAAGTCTTCATGTGTTTTTATAACAGCAGAATGTAACAAACCTCACATTAGATTAAGAAGGTGCGGGTGGTTGAACGTACGTCAGGCAGGTTAAAAAAAAGAGGACACACTCAATCAATGTACGAACATTTCAACCTAAATATACTTTCACCTTCTGAAAATTCAAAATCTGGACTTTAAATTTTATTTTGTGGTATTGACAAAGTGTTTGGGTTTATGATAAATGAATTTATATATGACTATGACTCAGGAAATGAGAACATAATCCATTTGTTTAGTGATCAATGTGATCAATCCACACTGACAGTCCCACATTATGAGTCTGCAGGGAGTACATCAGGATTTTCAGACGAGTCTTTGAATGAGCAGTGAAGACGCACGATGAAAGATGTTGATGCTGTCCGCTTCTAAAGTTTCAATCACATCCGTAACGTGTGGATAAAAAACCTCCTCCGTCTCAGTATTAATTAGTCAGTCAGACAGCTGACTGCTTTAAATCTCACAGCTCTTCTGTTTCCACCAAAGGAGACAAAGCAGCCAGAGGGGGTTTGTTTAAAGAGATCATAAGGCTTTCCTGAACCCGCCATTGTTCTCTGTGATTGGCTTGGCCTCACACTGCGCTAAAGCAGAGGCTGAGGTGCACACAGACACACACACACACACACACACACACACACACACACAGACACACACACACGGGCACAGACATAAAGACACACCATTTTCCCCATGGACTCCTGGTTCAATGGGATTCAGAAAACAATGTCCAAAAGGATATAGGGGGTCATGAGGCTCTGCTGCCTTATGGAGACATCCGATGTATAAGTCAGTGTTCGCACACACACACACACACACACACACACACACACACACACACACACACACACACACACACACACACACTAAGGGTTGTCATGTTGCAGAATTTTAAACTTTACAAAACGAGTAAAAATCAAACAATCTCTCCACCTGTTTCAAACACATGGAAACAAAAATATAAACCATAGGCATCTATTGGGTGACTGAATGTGTATTAATCACCAGATGAAAACAAATCCTGAGTCTAAATTGCAAAAACTACATTGGCGACGTACGGGTGTCTCCTCCTCTGCTCTCTGTCTGTGTGTCCAAGAGAGATAAAAGTAACTTTTGCATCTTTACAGGACGCCGAAACGACACGAGAAACGTCTGTTTTTGCAGCCATGATGTGAGTTTGGATGGACTCAACGGCTTTGTCTGTCTTGTGCAGCAACTTTGGCTTCAAATACGACTGAAGATCTTTAATGGGTTCTTTTAAAGCTCACACTTTTTGATAATTATCCATGATTTAAAAATCTATGACTGTATTATTTTAAAACCTACGTTCTCACTTAAACACCTGCAGGTTAAACATTTATATCACAGGACAGGAACAACAATCAGAAGGTTTTAAATGTTGAGGCCAAAAGTGATATTGATTAGGTCAAATAAAAACTCATGCATTGATTATTTTACTTATAAGCCGTGTTGTGACCTACTTAAAAGAAAAACTTTGCATGTCATTTGGCGCATTTCTTTCTGAGTCTCACTGATATTGGATCATCTGCAATGAGGCGATATCGGCTAAGAGGATTGCCGTTGTTGACTCATTGATTGAGCTCTTACTTCTGTTCATTTTTCAGTCACAGCAATGAGCATCCCACTTTCTCAAAATGAATTATCAAAAGAAGCCTGAAGGTCATTCAACAATCCCTTCCCATTCCCGCTGTACTTACTGAATGTATTTCTAAAAAAAAAACCCTCAAAGACTCCTCCACCATCTGGACGATTTTTGGGTTTGTACAATTTAAATACAGGAGAAACGTATTTTCTGGCTACAATCCATGTCTGGATGGTTAAAAAAACTAAATAAATGTAACTTTTATTTTTTTAACCATGAAGCAGATGGAATATTTTTTAATATCCAGATGGTTTGAGGAGTCCTTGAAGATTTGGGGAAAACCTTCTAGACCGCACTTAATGTCGTTTAAGATGACTGGATGTTTTGGTTTTTTTTGTGCACGGCTCTGTGACTTCGATGTGGAGGTAACACACAGGAGACAGGAACAGGTTTGAAACTGAGTCTATTGATAATATAGAACGATGGAGGAATACTGTCGCCTATGTTCCCTTCATTTTATTTTAGTTTGAAGGTAAACTCAAATCAACGTACAGCCATGTGCACACCCCCCCCAGGGTCACCTTTGTCTTACATGAACCCGTTCACCTGTGAAGACAAAAACTCAGAACAGAGAGGTGGAAGGGGGAGAGGGGTGAGGGGGGTGAGGGGGTTGAAATGCCGAGCCACTCCTTGAGATTATCCTGTGTGTGTTTAAGTGTGTTTGCGTGTGTCATAGGAAGCGACGAAGAGGTGGTATCGCACACACACACTATCTCGCAGGTGATGACAGACAAAACTCTTTGCTTTACATCTTCACTGTGCAGATCAAAGAGCATGATGGGAGAGTGTGGCACGCAAGGCTGCAGGATGTGCAGATGCAAAAAAATAAAAAATAAGAAAAAATACAAATAAAAGAAAGACAGATGAAGAAAAGAAAACAAAAAGAAAAGAAAAAGGAGTGGTGGTGGTGGCAGCAGCAGCAGGGGGGGGGCGGAGATGGTCGCGAAAAAACGAATAAGGCGAGGAAAGAAGATTGACGGAAAGAAAAGGTCAGGGACTCCCCGCTGACGGACAGCTTTGTATGCAGCCAGCCACTGTAAAGACACACACACACACACACACACACACACACACACACACACACATGAAACCCACCACTCCACTGTTCAGCATGACCCATGCTGCGGCAGAGAGTCCACAATCTTTGCATACTCTGAACACTGAGACAGAGACATCACCTCCGGACTGATCCCAGACCTGCAGTGTGTCTTTTTTGAAATCTTTTGCACAAACACAACCTCGACACTGATCCACATGCAGCTACTTTTATTTCTGAACATTTCTGGACACACCTCAGGTTCTACTCGTCTAAATTGCTCCCGTTAGGCCGTTTTTCACTGTATGAACTCCTGACAATTTTGAGAGTTAGCTGTTCAACACAAGCACCTAAACAGAGGGAGACTGTCCCTGTAGGACTGGAGGGATCTCAGGAGGCAGCAGCACACAAGTGGAAGGAACAACGCACAAGTGGTGGACGGACGATGCAACAGAGTCCGCTTACGATGTTATAATGAGACGTTTTTGCCTTCATATCGATGCTTCATGTAGTTCCACACAATCACAATATCGACAAAGAAACAGAGAACATATCGGTGAAGGCGAAATATATGCATACAATCTATTGACGTTTGCCAGTTGCAAGATAGAGACGTCACCAGCACACAGTTCTCACATCAGCTCACCCCAAATTCACACTGACAATTCACAAGGACGCTGGCAGGAGAAAAACTCAGTGTAGAAGTGTGAAAATTACAGCTTTTAGTGGTGTGCAAACTTCAGGAGTTTTGTGCAAGAGTAAGAAAGTGACTCAAAAATATCAGCAGATATAATTTAGGAGTTTGCTTGACGTTGTTTTGTTTATGTGAAAACTTAATCTCCCCCCCTTCTCATTGTTCTGAAACTTGACGGAGTGAATTGTTTCAGGAGTGAATTATTCTGCTAAACTCCCAGCTGAAGTGAAAGGGAAGAGGAAGGAGGAGGAGGAGGAGGAGGAGGGGAGGGGGGGTGTTGAAGTCTTTGGGAAAACCGTTGACGCCTGTACCTATTCTTGGTGAACCTGCTGATGTTCACTCATTTGCATCTGCCAACAGAAGTGACATCATCACCACCACCATCCTCCTCATCATCATCATCATCATCATCATCATCATCATCACTAAATAATGAGTTAGCTGCCAGTGCAGTGCTGTCAGGCTCTCTGGCACATTCAGAGGAGAAAATGAAGATGTCACAGAGAGAGACAGAGAGTGAAAGAGTTGTGGATGGGGGGGGGGGGGATGTTGATTGTGTTGGATTGAAAAGGAGGAAAGTGAAAATTGGAAGTTCTGAAGTTTATGGATGGAGGAAAAAAATGTGTGAACGTCCCTTTAAAAAGGTGATAGATCAACACATTCGACAACACCTTCTAACCTGAAGTGAAGGAGGCGTGTGGAAGTTTACAAAAACACACACTTGCGTGACAGCAACACTTTCATGACTTCTACCTTACACATCCTGGCCTGCAACAGGACTAGTAAATAACACGGCTTATTCTTTGACACCGATCACTCACCAGTCCCGGTGCGCCCTGACTGAGCTCCCCACGAGGAAAAACAAATAAAACTTCCCGTCCTCCTCCTCCTCCTCTTTCTCTCCCGCTTTAATTCCTCACCGCGGTCACAGCGCGCTGGTTTGGGAGCCGAGGCTGCCCCCGGCGAGCTCCGTGTGCGGACTTCTCCTCTGCTCCGTGGAGGGGACACGCGGTGGTGGAAGTCGGTGGGTGGGTTGGGTTGGGTGTAAGTAAAGATGAGAGGTTGAATCCTGGTGCGGTGCGTAAATGTTTTGGAGTCGGAGAGCGCTGCCCTCACTCTCTCTCTCTCTCTCTCTCTCTCTGTGTGTGTGTGTGTCTCTCTCTCTCTCTCTTACTGACTCCCCGTGACTTTCTGTCTGTCTGCCGCTCTGGTTCCCAAACACTCACCGTCCACTGCGCCCTGCCGCTCACCTCCCACTTAAAGGGAGAGGACTGATTTCAGGTGCTGGCGGAGGAGACGAGAGAGAGAGAGAGAGAGAGAGAGCCAAAACAAAACATAAAACGATTAACTGTCTCTGGCTTCTTGTCACGTTAACACACTATTGATCACTATTGACTGATCCACTGAGCTATTTCCTCCTTTCAGTCAAAGGATTCATATAACTGTAGAGTTATTTAACATATTTAAAACACGATAAACTACTTACTATTTCCTCAGAGTTCAATGAATGATTGTTTGCATTAATGCGTAAAAATAGCCTATTATGGATTATCAATACAATCACAGCTATGCCATTTTTGTTAAGCTTATAAAATAATCAAAACAGTCTGAAAGTTTGATCAAATGGCCTCCAATAACAGGATTTAAGCACTAAAGATTCTATAGCTGTTGTGATCGTGTGTATGGTGGCCTGTAGTGCAAATGTCGAACAATTTCTCTTTGGGGAAAAAGGTTGCAAATTCAGAAACGAAATCCAAAAACAGCTGAACAGATGCACTAACAGTACACACAGGTGCAAAGTTTAAAACACACAGAAATAAAGAAAGGGGTATGCTTCAATCATCACAATAAAGGTGCTCCATGTCTGTGTGGGGGGAGATGCTACTTTGAGCTGTGCTTTCTTTTAATTATGATTTGTTGTTTTGTTTTTTTCAACATCACCGATTGCAGGTGAAAGAATGATTTGACTTTCCTGCTGTTTGCAGCTGCAGCCGTGTTGTATTTAGCCTTGGATAAAATATCCTACTGGTAAATGGACTTGAGCTTGTATAGCGCTACTCAAAGTGCTTTTTACACCGCAGGTCACACTTAACTATTCACACACTGATGCTTTGTAAGTGTTCATCAGAAATAACCATTCATACACAATCATGGGCTGCTACCGAAGCGGTGGGAGAAACTCAGGGTTAAGTGTCTTGCCTGAGGACACATCAGACATGGTGGCCTCAGGAGCTGGGGAGCGAGCCCTCGACCGACTATCACTGAGCCACAGCCGCCCTACTGCTGCTAGTTGAGATTTCATGTTTGTCCTGATCACATGATGAAAAAACCCTAAGCGCTCCTTAAGTGAGATCACTTAACGGAGTCGATGAACACTGCTACCGCTGTGATTACTGTAGGTGACAGCTCTCATAAATCTCAGTGAAGCCAGATTAGAAAAAAAAGAGATCCTGGAAGCAGAAGCCCCATTGGTCAGTTTTCTCACAACACATCACTGATAGAACCAATATGTCTTATTCTATATATTTAGTTTATGGATGATTCAAATTTTACTCAATGTTTATTCATATTTGACAAACTGCAATCAAGACACGTTTTATACAATTTTTTACATGAGTAAATGGAGAACATACCTGACAACTCCATTTTCCAGGATTATTTATGATCATCTTGTATTTTTGGTGCTTTCACTCTTTAAGTCAATCATTTTTCAGCAAGTTGTACCACTTCAGTTTTTAACCTATTGGTGGCTTTTGCAGGGTTTTGTTTTTTTGTCCTAAAGTCCAGGGACGGGTCCAAAGAGAACATCTGCTGTGTTCGAAAACAACAAACTTTCCTACTATTCATATTAAACATCACATTGAGTATGTTATACGTTCCATTATCATAGTAGGCAATTTTATGGGAGAATTAGCTAGATGTACAGATTTTTAAAGTATGAAACGGGAGCACACTGTTTGTACTAAACCAACCCATGCCAGCCAGCCAAGAAATAAAAGTAAACGTAGAGTAATATGGATGCCATGTCGTCAAATTATATTAAAAAGACCGAACTTGGGGCGCTGGTGGTGCAGTGGTTAGTGCGCGCGCCCCATGTATGGAGGCCTTGGTACTCCAAGCGGGCGGCCCAGGCTCAAATCTCGCCTGTGGCTCCTTTCCCGCATGTCATTCCCCACTCTCTCTTTCCCTGATTTCCGACTCTATCCACAATCCTATATCTCCATTAAAGGCACAAAAAGCCCAAAAATATATATATATATTAAAAAAAGACCCAACTTCAACAAATACCTCTTGGTATAACTTGGACATTTGTGTGCAACAGTGAAACAGCATCAGAAGTTACTGGTGTAAGCATTATGCAACATTTTAAAACCCTTTCACACACAGTGCTCACTACAGCGAGTAGTTTAGGAGTGGATACAGTTCAGTGATTGGTGGGGAGTATGATCAAATAAAATAAAATACAATCACAGTGACGCGATTGTCAAGATGATAAAGCTCGTTCCTAATCCAGTGTGAATCATGGGTTAGCTTTTACCTGTAGAGGAAGAGTTAATGTGCTTTCTGTTGGACAGGCAGGTGCCAAACACCGGCGGTTAGCTTGTGCTAATGTGTGGTAGCTTGCAGTGTAGGTAAAAGCAGTGAACGTACACATGTAGGTCCTGCAGTGAGTGTGAGCTTATGGAGACGACGAGCCCAGGAAACGGGCCTGCCTACGAGATGCAACGAACAATGATACTATACCTTTAAGAAATGAAATATGGAGTTATTTTTTCTTCTGCAAATCAATTGATTTATATTAAACTTTAACTTGAAGGGTTGTGTTTTTGTTTGACTTTTAAACCCCAAAAAAATCAACAAAATGTAGTGCGAGCAATTGCGTCAGTTTATGAAAAGTGTTTCTATTGAAAGAGATCAAATCGGAGTCTGGTAGCCTCCAGTTGAAGCTGTCAAAGGTCATCAAGTGTTCCTTTATAAGAAAGGAAAACTTCAAAACTCCAATTTAAGGAACTCAAAATGTTTCTCTGCCTCAGTTGACATGTGACAAAGTGAAAATGTTGTTTTTACATTTTTTTTAAAAGACAACATTGCAGCTTTGCAGGATGTCCGCTCAAGGGGACACTTCTGTAACTTCTTCAAAATTATGAATTTTAACAGAATGGAAAACTTACATCACTTGAAAAGAAGTAAAACAGACATTATTATTACTGTGATTTGATCATTTGTGCATGAAAAGTTCAATATTCATAAGGATGTCAGGATGAAGGGGGTTTTAGAGGGGCCTCATCAGAAACACATTTATAGTGGAACTAGAGTTTTTGTCCACTTTCTGTAAATCATCAACTCCTGAATTCTTTCTTGCCTTCACACACCTGCCCAATCCTTTCGAGGAGCGAGCATGGACATCTGAATGGTTGGGTTAGGAAAGGTAACAGAAGACAGAGGAATGATTACCAAATCCAGGATGGATGTGCTTTTACACCTTCTCCTGATCCGCCCTGACGTCAACACCCGGGTTGATTCTGTATTTCCAGGAAAAATCAAGAGCTCATATAATGGGATCTCTGAAACTCGTCTTATCCCTCCTCCTCTAATGGTTGTGACTGAAGACAGCACGATGGTACAAACATTATCCTGCACTGTACTGTGCTCCGTGTTGTCTCCTGTGATCACTCACTTTGTGGGTTTCTATGGACCTGATCAGTAGCGGAGCGAGTGTGGGGGCAGAAGGTGCGGCCGCCCCGGGCCCACTGTTGTCTTAAGGGGCCCACTGTTGTCTTAAGGGGCCCACTGTTGTCTTAAGGGGCCCACTTTGAGCCAAATTTAACATGCATTTTGTTATTTAGTGGAATTTTCTAATAAAGTTAGTTTGACGAGGTCTGAGTCTCTCTTTTCTTTTGCCGCAATCAAGACACACAATGTATTTTGTAGAGCAGAGAGGGCCCCCCCCTCCACTGCCAAGGGGGTTCTCAACTTCGGCAGCAAACAGCACCAGCGGGGGTCCTGTGGCCTGTTTGTAATGTCATTGATTCCACCTCTTAGCACCTCCTTTGCTGGGCCCCCCGCTGCTGTCTGGAGTTTTAAAAACCTAGTCGTCTGTCTGCTTTATTTCTGTTTACCTCGCTGTTTTTCGTAACATTAAAAGTGTAAAAAACTAAATAAAAAATGTTTTCTCATTGACAACTCGACCTGACAAGTCTCCTCCCGTTGCTAGCTCCGCTAACGTAAACGCTACTAGCCAAGCAAATAAACATGTTAGAGAGGAACACCCAGCGAGCTGCAGGAAAGCAACAGTGCTGATGAAAACTTAACTGGTAAATTGTTTCATCATTATTTGAGATTACGCTTAGATGCTGGTCTTTCGTTTGTGGGTGCATGTGTTGTAGACCGCCCTGTGTCTGCTGGTTATTGTATGAACGGCTGTCACACTGTTTACAAAGTTTGTTGTCGTGCGTGGGTTGATAATGTGTGGTTTTATTGTATTGTCTGTGTGGCTGGATGAGCGTCCAACTTCACTGAATGTCAAACTGTAGTTGCCTTCTGTCTTTGGTTTCCCGTCCGGCTAATGAAGTCTGCTTTACTTGTTTAATCGGTGGAATATGCGCACAGACGTATCAGCACTTGTTCTGCTTAAACATCAGCAGCTCACTCACTGATAAGTCCCTGTCACTGTAATAGCACCCTTTGTAATCTGCAGCGGCATTTCTCTTCGTCCCGCCCCGTCTTGTATCTCCATACAGCTGATACTATACCATAAATGCTATACTATATTACTATATAGGCTACAGCATATGCGATATAGCCTATAGACAGTTTAAGGGCCCACTATTGGTCCCCTCTGCAATGACCCATAGGCTCCACGCCTGGACCTGATACTTCTGTGACATTGATGACTGGCCTTTCTGTTGTTGAGGATTTCTTTTGAAACATGATGAGTATAGTCTCAGAACAAGAAATGGAAAGATAAACATGTCAACAACAACACCTTTGTTATGAACACTTGGCTGATTCATACTGGCAGAAAATGGGAAAAGTTGCCAATTAAAGATCAGAGGTTTCTAAAAGAAGAGGTGGAAAATGTGAGTGCAGTGATGGAAAAAACGGAAGGTCATGCGTGTGTACTTGCTGTACAGTAAAAATGTATTTGTGTTCATGTGAGTGACGTTGACAATAGACG